CAATCAATACGTGTCAAATCCTGTCGAGCCTATCATAACAAGGGCGACCCATTCAAAACAGAACAGGACAAATAATACTGAATTGTAAAAAATTCATACATTTTTGTTTTTTTCCGGTTGGAAAATAGTAATATATGCATTTTTATGTTGTGGTAATTTGGATGAAATTTTAACAAATATGTGGCATAGAATGAAAGCAATTTATGTGTGTCGATGTGAGCATCCACATACGCATTTCAATTATAATCAACAATGGCAAAATGTTGATCGTGAGCCTCTAACGAATGGAAATGAACTAAAACGCAAAATAGCTTTGAAAAATATTGAAGTTTGTAAGATAAATGGTGATACAGCCTTTAATGGAATTCTTTGGGAAACTTCACCAAGACTTACTGTGACCAATTTCATTCTCAATTCCACTCTCGAATAATTCCGAACCGAGATTTGGAACAGCAACATTCTACTTGGCATCGATTAGTCTTTTTTCTCTGAGTATGTAGCGTTCTAGATTAGTTCTTGAAGAAAATGTAAAAGTGGTTTCCAGGATTTAGATTGGATTGTAATCACAATCTGAAGCGATGGCCTCGATAGTACGCTATAATCTATCATTCAGTGATACATACGAGCAGGACATAAGAGCGACGAGGAGTTGCTTGATAGCTTTCAGTGATAGATATTTTTACACAAGTTTTGAGGAATATGTTTGATCTTTGATGTTTTCGTCGAGTGACCGGCTACGATAACAAGACTGCCAACGCGTTTTTTTGTTGAAAAACAATAACCAAAATATTTAAAAACATGAAAGGTGACATCGGACTTGATTTTCTTACCTTCGATTACTTTCGATGAAGTTTTTTGGGAAATAATATTGGATTATTTTGCTGCTGAATAACGCTTTTTTTGATTGGTTAGACACACAGACAAACATTTCTGTTTGGATGATCCTTTCTTTCAGAAGAGGGAACACGACGCAAAGAATTTTGTCTTATAAAGAACCTCTTACTGATTCTCAACGAGTATACTGGCTGCTCCAGTTGAGAAATGAGAAGAATACGAAGTATAACTTTTTTCTTTTAGTTACCCTTCGGTTAATGAATACTATGGTTCTGCTGCCAAAGAATCAGTATCAATACACTGAATTCTTTTCCATTCTCAACGAGGACAGCAAAGATTTTCATTTTCCGAGTCAGCATGAAACTTTCGATAAGCCAGGGTCCTTGACTTTGTTATTCGGTTGATAAAGAGCCATGCAATGGGTAGCAAACAATTAAACTGAGTTTGCCGACGAATTCAAGGGTTCAGTTCAATGGTGATAAAGAATTTTCTTCACTGAAACACTGTTGCTTGCGGACGTAGGTCTTGGTTTCGATGGGAAGCCTACCGGCGTATGCCTAATCTGTTCCTTCAGGAAAGAGTCAAGCGTGCGTCAACGAAGCGCTACTTGTAAATAAATGTATAGCAAATTGTCGTTTGAGAAGACCGCCCTTCCGGGGCTTTTTCAAAAATACTTCGGCCAAAAATTCCAGAAGTTTCAATGCAAGTAGATCTTAATGTTATTTATATATTCGTCTTTCCTTCTATCGTTCTTTCTCTCTTATGTGTCCCGATCTATCTCTGCGATCCATCTCCAACATACAATCTATTGCATTGTATCTATACAATCTATTACAATCTATCAACAGAATGAAATGTTCCAATAAGTCCAGGAACAATAAGTCTGATAGCTCCCATAAGAAAATTCCGTGTCCACTGCTGGATCAATAATGCAATGTGCAAGAAATTGCCACTATCTTACTTAGGACTTTCATGGCTTGATCATGTTTTGAAAACCTTTAGGAAACGGGAAGCAGTCAGATAACACAATATTTTGTTTGATAACAACAGTGTCAAGTAGATTAACTCATTGGATCACTGAAATTTGTTCAGAGCGATAAAACCCACCTTTTGTTGAGCCTGATCTCATATGAAAACGTTCCGACGCCCCTGGTATTTTCAGGAATAACATTTATATCAGTAAGATGAAATGCATTGTCCAGCTGCTTTTTCAAATGTGTGATTAATGAAAATTAAGTATAAGAATGAAATGAAGGAGGAAATGTGTACATCTAGTAGATACGAGCGTGTCTGTTTAATCTATGAACGAAATTGATTATGTCATAAACTGAAGCGAATCTACCACAGTACTGCCACGATGAGGAGCCAGTTCAATCGTTAATGTCATGTTGTGATGCACAACAGATGTCCGAGTAAATGAGACACGAATGCTTTGCACTGTATTGGGTTGAACACGATTCTCTCTGACGAAGATAAATCCATCAGCGCTGGTCATAGTTGCTATTATATCTACTTCGCCAATTGAATATCGTATGTCCCATCCATCTTGCTGACCAGCTGAAATGAGGACTCGAATGCAAGCAGCATAATCTAGCCAAGGACTATAGTCAGCTACATGAAGCGTGTAATTCAGAGTCGTCCCGACTGGTACATTTGAGTTTAAAACCATATCGGCTTTCGTCGATTGCTTCACATAAGCAAATTGTCCGACTTTTCCCTCATCTACGTACAAATCAAGTGTTTCCGGTTCTCCATCTCGATGTTTCAGCGCATAGAAGGCCATGCCAGTCGTTGAATTGGCTGGGTAGCCGCCCACCTGTTCGGGAACAGCTGGAATAACATTGTCGGCGTATTCAAAGATGATCCAGATATCTGGATCGGCATCGTTGTCTTCGTGTCCCTGAATTGCAGAAATACCCACAGTGACAAAGTCTCTGGTCGAATTGTACGTGACGACGCCGGCCCCATACGGGCAAAGCATCAATGCTGCCGGTTTGCCAATACTGTGTGCATATTGAACAACCGAATAACTGCCTTC